AAACAATTTATCATCAACTCCAAAAACTGCATGTCCATGTGCTTTTGCTTGCTTGACCATTGCTGCATGTGCCTTGGCTTGTGCTCTTTGCGTCTTTGCAGCTCGGCTCTCATCCTCCTTGCGCTTCCTCTCCTGGTTTCTGGCAGCGGTGCGTTCTTTCTGGCTAATGTAGCTAAGGACATCGGTTGAGATTCTGACCAAAGACTTTTGAAATACATCCTGCACTGACCACAGAGACTTGCATTCTGATTCAAACGCCACCAGCCATGCAGGTGATGAGGCAGATGACAGCAAGTGCTGGTAGAACTCCAACATCACAAGGGAAATCAGCTCCAAGTCACCGTTGCAAAGCCGAATCTGTAGCTCTGCATTCTTTACCAACTGAAGAAAATGCTGATGCTTTTGCTCAACTGCATCTGGCACCTCTGGCTTGACGTAGTCATCTCCCTCTTCAATTTCCTTCTTCTTTTCAACCTTTGGGGCTAGCTTCAAAGCTTCTGAAGGCAGCGAATCCAGCCAGGCCTTACAAATATTCTCACATGCCTGAAGCATTGTGTTGTAAGAAGCCACCACTTCGCCACATGCATCCTGTTGAGATCCAAGAGATTTCGATAGCTTTTCCTGTGCTTCCTTGATCTTGTCAGCTGCAAGTTGCATCTTCTCTGTTCGAATTTTCACACCTTCCACAAACTTGTCAAGCAAACCGGCTCGGAAACTGCACAAAGAGGCCCCACTGGATAGCTTTGCAATCTTTGCTTTCTTTTTTTTTTCTTCTGGCGTCTCGGTTTTTTCAGGTGAAGCATCTGGCTCACGCTTCACATGGGATTTTTCTGGTGTATTGCTGTTGCCTTCTGCTTCTTCTCGACCTACTGCCTCAGTGAAAAACCGATCATCAACATCGTTCGGCGTGCCACCCTTCATGACCTGGTCCAGCATCAACTCCCGGTCATCATCTCCCAAGCGCTTCTCTGCCGCGGACGTTTCAACGCGGCTAGATGATTTTTTCCTACGCGCAGCAGGCGGTAGTGTGTATAGCTGTTGAAAACAAAACTATATAATATATCTACAATCGCCAAGAAAACAATCTGAACGCATTTTTTATAAATGAATACTTTCAGTATGATAGTATGATGTATGATGTTTTGGTATCGAACACACCATAACGGGCCGGTCCGGTCCTTTGGGTATCAACAGCCTTCATCTCTACAACCCCGATCCAAAGGCGGAGTGATCCGTCAATACCCAAGGTATCCCTTTTCACAGAAGCATCCTTTAATTGCTTCTCCCACTCGTTTATACATTGTTGCTTGCTCCATCCCATTTTGTTCAATCCCCGCTGAATCCATTGGCACTTCTCAAACGGCTTGGCGCCACGGCGGTCAGTGTGAACTAATGACAAAGAGTGCTCCTTTTTGAACTGGCTCCACTCGATGAACTTCTTCCGGGACCACCTTCCTTGATCAGGATTGTCGTCCATGAATCGCTTGAATGCTCGGTCAGCTTCAAGTGCATCACTCATGACTTGGTTGAATATCTCGGTCTCTTTGTTCTTTTTGGCATGGTAACTCATCGAATCATAGAAGCTGTTGTGGGTTGCACACCACTTCTTTCCCTTGGCGCACGTTTCGCTGCATGATGCCACAAAACAAGTCTTCACAGCATCTCGGCCGCTTCCGGAGTTCGAAGTGAATCGTCGTCTCTTCCTCCTGGATGCATCTTCCTGTTGCGGTGGATCATCATGGTCATTTCCCGCCACCTGTAGCTCTTCATCTGCACATTCATCATCAAAGTCCATCGCGTCAAACAACCGGAAAGGACAAGAGCGTCCAGCGTCCTAAAGGAAAAAATAGTTTGTAAACAATGCTGGCATTATTTCATCTGAACGAAATGATATTTTTTTGGATTTCTGGGATTTTTGAATTGAACCCAAAACTGATCGGAGCTGCTCGAAATAAAGCTCACAAGCTCGAAATGAGAGATCATAAGCTCGAAATCCCTAAGCTCGAAATTTCAGTGAAAATGTTTAAAGACATATACAGCCCTATCAACCTCGCCTATGCACATTGCCTCGAGGGAAAGAATCCCGAGACCACCTACTCAAAAAAATGATGCAATCTGAATCAGTTTGAATCTTAGACTGCTGGATTTTTTCACTAGCATCGCATCAAAGTGGCATCGGTGCAGCCACTGAGCATAGTCCACTTCATATGGGCAAACTGCAAGTAATCTGTAAATTTGCTGACGTTCATCTGGCATAGGCATCAAAGAACCAGTACGGGTACACGGCCAAAATCTTCGAAGCGTCAGATGCGCACAAAATGTTCTCCATCAGCTGTAAAGGAAAAACTAAGCAGCGTCAGCAGTGCCTTTGCCATTCTCAACGGGCTTGTTTCCTTCATCACCAGGACCTTTGTTTGCATCCGAAGGACCAGATTGGTTCAGCTTGTCCTTTTCATCTTTCTCCTGGGCCTTTTCAACAGCCTCCGCCAAGTCTTCATCAAACTGCTTGTCCACAGCATGCGTTGCTGCTGCTTCGATCTTCTCTGCACTGGATTTGATGGAAAGGCCACCATCCAAAACCAGCTTGAGGGTGTTGTAAGTATCTTCATCTCCACCAGTAGGATGGTCTGACAATGCGGAGGTCAAAGCATCCAAGCTTTCGGCAATGTTGTGCTCGCACTTCTTGGAGTCCTCCACAAGCTGTTGGTTCTCTGCGTCCTTGTTGGGAATCTGAGGGCGCAACTTCCTTGGAAGGAGGTTGAACCACATGAAATGAAACCATGGTAGCAATTGCTGAGTCACAACCGTTCAATATCGAAAAAATATTCAAAAGTCATTGAACAAATCAGGCTTACCTGATTGATTGAAAATCCTTGCGCGCTCATTCATTGTTTTCAAATTTGATGCAATTGCAACCACTAATTTCTGCACCGGCTAAAAAACAATACATCAAGGATCCTCAGCTTTGAAGACCACTTCTCCAACTCCTTGATGCACTTCGTCATCTGGGTTCGGAAGCCTTTGCAAGCAACCCCATAGTTGATGGTCACTGGTGCAGTTCCAGTTGGAGCACCAGTCATTGCAACTGCCTTTGCCTTGGGAGCACTTGCAGCACAACCTGTGGCTATGACTCCCAAGCTCTCCTTGGACAAAACGGACTCCTTTGACGTCTCGTGTGACCACTCATACTGCTTCATATTCTGCTGAGCAAGGGCTTGGATCTCATGATCCCTCACAGGCAAGCTTTCCAACGTGGCTTTCAAAAGGGCTTGAGCGACTGGATCAACTTTGACCTGCTCCGGAGTCACCTCAATCTTGGTCATGATCTGGAACTGGTTGAGCCACTCAGCAGTCTTGTTGAACTCATTGACGTGGGCCGACTCTTGCGCATGCACCATGCCTAATCCAGCAAAAACTCGACAAGAAAAACATATGAATAATCACTCAGCGTATGGATTTAAGAAAATCAAGCTACTTGTGACTCAGCGTATGGATTTAAAAATATCAAGCTACTTGGAACCCATGACATAGTGCGATCACCGCGAAATTTCTCCAGCACCATCTGCCTATTGGTCTTCAACTGCTGAAGGGCCTGTTCGGCCCCATCCATTCCGCACTTGGATCTGTAGGTAAGTTTCGAATGCAAATTGCGATACTCGAGCAGTTCCTCCTCACTCATCGACTGGGCCTTGGCTGATGTAGATCGACCAGACGAAGAGGTCTTACTTAGCCTTCGCCTTTGGCTTGCAGGCCTCCTTGGCACCAGGTCGCTTTGGCATGGCCGAAACTAAACTTGCTGGGCAAGAAGCTGAGACTGTAAAGGTTAATTTGCAGTGCTTTCCTGCAAACCGTACTATACTGCAAAATCTTCATTGATTTGACCCATGCAAAACACAATGCGCTTGGTTGTAAACACAACCTGAGATGCAACTAACGACAACATATAATAACAAACAGAAAAACCAAAACACAAAACGCACATCCATATCAAACATGAAATGGTACGTTTTAGAATACCAATACATTTAAACTTGTCTGCGGTGAAACCGCTAGACTAGACAAGTAGCATCTATCATTACCATAACCAAAAACATCCATAAAACCAAAAACTGCTGCGGTTTACCGCCAGCAATAGTCAATCAAATGCACGAAAGTCAACAAAAAAACTAACGTCCCAATGAATATGATTTCCAAGCTTGCCCAAAACTTTTTTTTGCAGTACTCTTGGTCTATTCGCAGCCGACGATCTGCTTTGCAGGCAAGCTCTTATGTCCTGGGCAAGGTCGAAAATATGTTGCAAACAACCAAGTATTCATAAAATGTAATGTTTCATACATAATAGAATTATGAAAATTATGAAATTATGAAAATTATGAAAATTATGAAATTATGAAAATTATGAAATTTTTATAAAAATACTAATTTTCCTTTTAAATATATATTGTCTGAAAATTATGAAAATCATAATTTTCATAATTTTCATTTTCATAAAATTATGAAAATCATAAAAACAATGTTACGAAAAAATCATAAACATACCCAATACTCAATGAATATTTCTTGATTTTTCATATGGAAATCAATTTACCCAACCAATCCCAACCAAATATTAACCATACTCAAAGCGCACTAAAATATCTAAAATGAGTAGTTATGCCAGTTCAGCCCGAGTTTCTTTTTTTGTCTTGGCTTTCGGGCTCCTCGAGGCTTATCATGTCCATGTTTCTGCCTATAGTCTTCCCGGTTTGACCTCAAAAACAAAATGCTTACCCTCCGGTTGAACTGATTACTCTCTCCAAGTCAAATCTTTTCAAATTCCAGAGGTAAATTTGATTTGTTGGCAAGGAGCACTCTTCTGCAGGAAGGTCTGGACTTTGCACATGCACCCGGTGGCCTCACTACAACAAAGAATTATTTCCACCAACATGTTGTACAAGTGCACAAACTCGCAAACATGCAGTCAAAGCCGAGCTCAACATGATCCCAAGCCGTCTATATTTTAGACAAGTGACATTGTCTCCACATCAACCGGTGCAGGACTTGCCACATGACCAGTTGAATCACCAGTACCAGTAGGTCCAGGAGGCAAAGAAGAGGTCCTTGGATTATGGTACGTTTGCGCAATCAGAAAACTTCATATAAACCATATCGCTGAAAATACACCAGGACATTTTCAGGTCCAGATTCGGTTCTGATATGTTTGGATGGATCTCATTGGTGGTGGTGGTGACGGTGGCACCAGCAGGTTTGGTTTGAGAATCTGCTGATAGAAGATCGGCTAGAATCTGAATCTCAACGGACTCACGAGGCTCACCGGATCCAGCCGATTCAGCTGGTGCTGGTGCCGCCGGTGCTGCTGCTTTCCTCAGAACAAACAGTTTAGACTCATCTGCAAATTTTTAGAATGTTACATTGAAATCCACTGTACATTGAAGTTTACTGTACATTGAACCTACTCACTGGGTGCAAATGTTTCAGGAAGCTACACCACAACTGATGGAAATATGATAGCTTTCCAACCCAACACCATCGAATATCGAAAACAAAAAATAATTCCACATTCAGATGTGCTACGCTGTCCATATGTCAAAACCAAAACAAAAATACTGTCATCACACTCCCTGATCATTTTCTCCAAGTGTCTCCATCTCTGCATTTGCATATCGATCAAAACCTTGCCATGGCATCAATCATGACCAAGTTGAAAACAAATTTGATTGATATATATATATATACAAATATATATATAATGGTAAAGATATGTATGTACGTTTGTACTGTCACTGTGAAAAGACTTTGACACATATTGTGAACCAAGAAACACTGGGCATCCTGTCGCTGCAACTGGCTTTGCCCGGTCGCAGCCGCATCAGGCACCACGGTTGGAAACCTGCAATCATTGACAAAAACAACATCCCTTGTTGAACATTAGATTGAACTCACAACTGTAATCTCAAAATGTTTCAGCCCTACCGAACCTTGATGGTGATCTGGTCCTCGAAGGTGACAGGGAGCGTGTTCTCTCAGGAGAAACTGTTCTGGATCGTTGATTGCAGGGTCCACGATTGCGCGTTTCCTTATGGGATCCTTTGCTCTTCTTTTTCTTCTTTGACTTTCGTGTTTTCTTGGCCTTTTTTTTTCATGGCTTGCTTCACTGCCTTTTTCAATGACCTCACCTTGATTTCCACCGTGACGGCAGTGCTTTCTGAATCACTGTCACCTGTCTTTTTGGTGGCATCTGACGCTGCTTCAGATCCCGACATTGTAGCAATGGCGGCAATAGAAGGCCACTGACTGGTTGTTCTACGTTGAACAAACATATATACTGTGACTTCAGAGGTGATATTCATGACTTGTGAGCTGATACCTGATGGCGACCCTGAGCAAATCATCATATCTTTTGTTTGTACTCCAAAATTGAAAATGAACAATTTTCCTCAGATAAGATATAGCTAAACGTTCACATATTACATACATGTTTCATCAAATTCATAACTGTTTGTAATTTGATGTTGTCACATACGTTTTAAAATTGAAATATTTTACCCACGTGAAAGTCCAACAACTCATCAATAAAAACCACTATAGCCTACCTTTCACTTGAACCTTGTTGCGATATTCTGCAGTATCACAGGCTGATGAGCCCCAGAATCAAATGGAAAAACATATCATTTTTCTGCTTGCGGTCACACCGCTAAGCATCAACATACATGATCCAAACAAACAAATTTATACGTAGTCATAGTCATAGTCATAGGTACATCAAACTTGAATCAGCACCCAACCACAATGTTCTGTCTTTTGATCAATCTTTATTATTGTGGCATACGATTTTTATGATTTTTATGAATTTTCATAAACTTGTAAGCTCGAATTGCTCGAAATTCCTCGAAACTGAAACACGCATTTCTGAGCAAGCCCCAAAATTCAACGAAACCACAAAATCACCAATTATGCTGTAGAAATCCCACAAGTTTCAAACAAAAATGCAGATCACCCAACTCCCAGACTCAAAGTGGGTAGATTTTCCAATAGATAGATCAACCTCGCCGCCAATCAGCTCCTGACTCCTGAGGACTCCTGACTCCTGACCCACAACACATTCTTTTTCACACATCCACAGCGTCTCAGAGTATCAGTCAGTTTCCAAGTTACAAGTTTTAAACTTGCTTGTCCAAACTTTCAATGGAAGGCAGAGTATTGCTTTTCTGAGCGTCGCAAACTTTCTTCCAAATCCGCTGCTGGTGGTCGTCCTTTGAAGTAGCATCTTTTCCCCACAGAGCCCAAGTTTTAAGCATCCGCAGGGCCATTTCGCTTCCCATTACATTGCTTGATCTTGTCTTTGTGCAATGTGCCTTGCCATCACTCTCATGACTGGAGCAAGTGCATTGCCATCCAGTTTTGGTAGGTGTGAATCTGAAAGCTCCCCAGTATTCAGAATTACGATCCCTTCTCGTCGCACCTTGCTTCTGACTCTTGGATTCAGGTTTGGAACTGCTAGGATTATTTGGTCCAGACGTTGAAGATGACGACGATGTAGATGAGCGAGTCGAATCGCCAGACTCTGACTCTGAATCATTCTGACCTGCTCCTGAGCCAGCTGAAGAAGATCTTGCGGATAGCTTGCCTGCTGAAGCTGCTGGAGAACTGCTGTCTGAGGAATCTGAAGAACCACTACAATCGGCTGGCTGCACAACACCAATGCTGCCGGCTCTGCCAGTGCCTGAATCAGTAAGCCGTCCCTGTAGCTGATCTGCATCCACATCTTGCAAGGATTCCAAAAGAGTTTTTCTGGGTTTCTTCTCTACGGCTGTTACTCTTCTTGATGACGGTTTTGCAAGCTGCTCATCAAACCATATATCTTCATCTCCGACAAAAAGCAGTGTGCTTTTTCGTTTCTTAGACTTTGTTTCTTTTCCAAGAAGTTTCAAATATACCTCGGTAGGCTGCAAATGAGGCACCGGTTGCAAGTGTGAGCTTGCAGTCAGCAGCAAAATCAAATACTCACGGCACACAGAATCTTTGCCGCCAGGTTGGTACCATATTTTTTCCGACTCATCATGTACATAGAATTTCTTGGCAATGTCAGACTTTTTGCCGTCAACAAGCTCAGGCTTCCATTTGTCATTTTGCATCTGGATCAAAAGTTCAACGGTTTCCATGTCTTGTAAGGAGATACCACTTCTGATCCGCACAACCTTTTGCCGCTTCTTCAAAAGATAGGAAACTGAAACGGCACACCTTCCGTCCGAAGTCAAGGCCCATCCGGCATTGTCATCTTGCTCTGTCAAACCTCTGTTTCGCATGTCTGTCAAAATTGACTGCTTGACATCAAAACCCTCAGAATTTCCTTGCAGAAAGAAGCTACCTTCAGCCAAAAGATCAGCCAACAACTTTGAGCAATACGGCGTCCCATAGATATCAGGATCCATCCCATCAGCCAATTTGATTGACACATTCAACTCAGGCTCAACCTCCCATCTTCGCATCTTCATCAGTGTATCTAATGGAAAGGCATCCAAGCAAAGCACAAATGGCGTGCTTGACCCAGTAGTCACAGGCTCCGGAATTGAGGCATCGATGTGAATTGGATCACTCCTTACCATCACAGAGTCAGCAACCTGGTCAAACTTTGTGACTTCAAGAAACACCACTGCCAAATTGCTGCGATTGAAATCATTCGGATGTGGAACTTTGATGTCTCCGACTCCAGTCCTCAAAATCTGCGCAAACAAAACTCCACTTTGCGACAGGCTTCTTTTCAGTGCTGTATTGTCAAAAATTATCCCAAGTGATTTGATGGCAGCTGGACAAAAAGGAAACGAATACACAAACCTGCAATTCTCGGCTGCAATCTTGTCCTGGTCATCCCGAAGCCAAACTTTCATTGATTGCAAAATGTAACGTCTCACAATCTCCTGCGATCGAGAGCTCTCCCCCTGATAGGCCACCAGTGCAGACGATTTTTCATCTCTTGGATCCAGGTTATCGCCATCGGCTTTGCCACCGGTACCATTGCTGTCCTGAATTGCAAAAAGATCTGGGTTGCTTGGAGGTATCAAGTCAGACCAATCTGGAGCACACCTAAAAAGGGTAGCAGGGTCAGCATGATACACGATCTTCATGTGCATTGGGTCCCGGTAATTCCCAATGATAGCTGCAGAAGGGTGATTGGCAAATCCCAACTCATTCAAAGCAAGAGCAGGGCTGTGGACACTGTGCATCAGTTTTGCCAACTTTGTGAGATTTTCCGGATCGCTATCGATCAATCCCTGGAGAGTGGCCATCCTTCTGGAAGAACTGATGTACGCTATTGTGTGGTTTCGAGCAAGAGCAACCTTTCTGTGGACAATCGCGTGGTCGCCTTCCACAGCTCTTTCAGCAGTTGGACCAAAAAAAATTGCCATGAAACGGCACAAGTTTGGGTAGCTTGGGAACTCGCCTTCTTCAAGCAAATATGCATGTGCCTCTGCGCTGACAGACTCACTGTGAAGCTCCTGCAAAAGAGGACAGGAGGCCACTTGCTGAGCCCCAACTCCAAGACAATCCTCAATAAACTTCTTGTGAACAAATTGGCTGGGATGGGCACATCCATAAATTTTCCAAGGCCACTCGTTCCAATGAGCCAATCTCAAGCGGAACACAAAGTGCAAGTGGTTCTTACCAGACTCAAAGTCGTGAAGTAAATTCATCCTGTCTCCTTGATTCAAATCGCGAGGCTAAGACAAAAGTAAAGCAGCGCTTGACTGGTCCACATGCTCGTTAAACATTGAAAAAAATCGCCTGCAGCAAGTTCAGGAGCCCTGCAGCCCCGGACAGGGCAGGAAGCCCATAATTTGGGGATGTCTTCACGTTGCAAAACCGCATTTCCGTTTGAGTGACAGGGACAATCTTCAGCCCAAGCAAGACACTTGCGAAGCACAATTGCCAAAGACTCCAACATCTTCAGTCGCGCCCAGAAAAGTTGCGACTTGATTGCTTCATCAACGACCGCAATGTCAACCCCAAACTGGTGCGAGTCTTCTCCTTCATTGGGAGCAGCGACACCACGGCCGCCTTTGTACTTGGCAGCATCCCAACCAAACTGCAGCACAGTCTCCAATGACAAAATTCCCAGGATACAAGTAGAGACGCTACCCCACCGACCTGTGTGAAGCTTGCACTGAAATTGTTTGATGTCTGCATGAAAATTTTTTCCAATTGGATCATTGAAACAAGACTCCATCAAGCGGGTTTTGGAATCTCTTCGGCGCAAAAGTCGGGAAATGTGTTGGAGCTGATTGGTGATTGTGTCCCAGCACATCATCGATTTTCCAAGGTCTGCTGATGAGTTGTGAATTATGTGAAGCAAACCGGCAATCGCCGTAGCCCGTGAAAAATTGACACACGGTTCTGTTAAGGCGTCTCTGTCTCCTTCTCCAAAATCGCGCATGGCAGGTGCCCAATCAGCCCAATCCGTGTCAGCGTCACCTGGCTTCAAGAACCCAAACAAAGACTGGATGGGAACAGCTGGAATCTTTGGCAGTGCAAATTCGGTACCCTGGTCTGTACAAAATGCTGAGATTTGGGATGAATACAAAGCCAAAGAACCGGCACTGCCTGTTTCAAGAAACAACGAATGAGCAACTGCGTGAAATTTGTGATACAGCTGCTGGTTCCCCAGTGCAACGGCTGGAAATAAGTCCAAGCGCATGCGGGAGTTCATGTTCAACATTCTTTGCTCCTCTGCTTCCATATACAACAGCCACACCACAGGATCTACTCTTCCAGCAAACACATCACTGGTAAATCTCTCTGATTCTGTCAAGCACTGCTGCGCATCCAAAAACAATTCCACAACTTCTGAACTGTCAACAGACACAACACGCAAAAGCTCCAAGTTGTAGTGTCCTTGGACAGATGAATCTACCATTGCAAAGCGAATTGTTTCCTGCTGTCTGTCAATTTCTTTGCAATTCCTTTCTCTGTTGAAAAGCATCAGCGCCACATCCAGTATAAACCGTGCACGTGTGATGCTTGAAGCGCTTGGAATTTTTGGCGCATGGCGAGGATGAAAAAACTTTGCAATGATTTCCTGCGTCAAAGACTTTGGCAATACCATTTCGATTGCTCTGCGAAGAACTTTTTTTAAATCTGAAGCATCCCGTAAATGGTTGCAAACAAGCAATGTCTTGATTAGATAAGCAGCTTGATAAGGCAGCCGCTTTGCAGAACTCACGCGTCCTTGCAGCTGCACAACACCTTGGTGAAGACCTTCTGTGCTAAGCTCATCTCGCACCCGCAACAATGTATTCACTGCCAAGCTACACTCCTGGAACGTTTCTGCATCATCTTCATCTCTGGGAATCCTTGAAGCCAAAGACCTGATCAAGCCTGCAATTCGACCAGCACTTTCTGAAGAAAAATCTTCTGATTGGTCCATAAAAGGCGGTGGCTCGAAAGCATCAAAACTTCCAGGCCAATGTGACCAGCCAACCATTCGGGATCACATGCGTTTGGAGTTGTGAAACAAATCCTCAACATCTGGATCTGGCAAAGCGAAAGAACTGGTGTGTCCACTTACCAGTTCCCAAGCAAAGTACGCCGGCAAACGCACACAAAATTGGCATTGCGACGCCATGGGCATCATATCTTGCGGCAAAATTTTCTCCAGAAGGTTTGACAAGTCAATGCCAGCTCCAACATCCAACAATCCGAAAAAGGTTTTCAGCCTTCTTTTGTCCACTATCGGCATGTTCACTGGCTCACTCAAAGCAAATGCTGGTGTTCCTGGTTCCCGTGCAAAAAAATATAACTTTCCATGCAATGAGTTGCCAAAGACAGATGCCCAAAAAGTTTGCTGTGTCTGCTCTGCATTGCTGAGGTGGCAAAGGGCATGGTAAACGAAAGCTGGTTTTACCAAAACCAATCCCAAAACAAGGTCAGCACATTTTTTGGGCAATACAGCCCTTGCTAAATGAAGACCCGCATCTCTGTCGGCGTTCACATCGTCCACCCGTGCCAAGCTACAAGAATTCCAGTCTGTTTTGTATGATCCTCCATCTGGTCTGTTTCCCCAACGCTGTGACTCTCCATGGGTACACACCCAGGCAAATCTCGGTGCCACGTCCGACATGGGAGAAGCATTGCCAATCCCTAAAGATCAAAAATGCAAAGACAATGATCATGTTGGTTTTATTTAAATGCAGTTTCAAGTTCCTAGGTGACTCCAAGCCTTGGTAAGTGTCATAAGTGTCAATGTCTGTTGCAAAACTGTGCAAAACCGTACAATACAAAAACAAAATGAACTGTATTAATTTAAAATGTGATCCAAGGATATTCTTTGCACTGTCATTTTTTTCAACTCCGCGAGCGAAAGCTGCAAGTGCAAATAGAATCAACAAATTGAACAATGTTGCAGTTTCTCACAACCACTGAATGTGTAAGTTGCTATAGTGACATTTCAGAGTCATAACAAATTTATTTGTTTTATGTTGAAAGAGATTCTCACATATGAATCGTTTGGCGGTCAAACCGCTCAACTCTCATGGCATAAGATAACAATATTATATGTTCCTTTCTGCAAACACATTGTTTTGTTTTGCTTGAATTTTCCTTTCTAGAAAAATATTCGCCAGAAGGCATGTTCATCTTTTCTGAATTTCAAAACTCATGCCCATTGATTGAATCGATCGGCGGTCCAACCACTAAACCTTACCCAAAATAATCATATCAATTCAACCAACAAACAATTTGTTTTTTTTTGTGTTTCCTTGCTCTCCAATAAAAACACTTGCCTTCCCGGTCACTGCCTCCTTTCTTGCAGCGGGAGTTTGTCCTGTTTTCCTACACTCCCTATTAGTTGAAAACTCTAAGTGCCTTAGGCAACCCCAAGATCTACGGTTCGGATCAAAACGGGTTTCAATTCCAAATTCCGTTGAAATGATCATTCAGCCCTTTAGGCCATAATCAAAATCAAAATTCCTAGGCTCTCGCTGACTCGCTGCCACTGAAGCCGGTTTCTTCTTGAAAAAGTAGAATCGCAGTAACCGACTCTGTAGCTGCAGCTGTAACTTGTAACTACCACCATTGCAACCCAATCCTTTCTGCAAGGTCCTCTGGTTGAAGCTGGAACTTGGGTCGCTTCCTTCAAACCTCAAAGTCTTCATTGTGTATATCTTCTCCAAACATCAAAAAATGGCCCAAGTCCTGCTGGAATTGGCATTGTCCGGTACAAGTCCAGGTAGTGGGTCAACTCCATGATGTCTCGGATTTGCTGGTAGCACAGGTGGTTCACCTCGAAAGCATGCTGTTGCGTTTGCTCCAGCAATTTGGCTGCTGTGTTCAGATTACTCACATGCAACTCATTGCAAAATCCAGGGGCCGTAATCATAAAGATTCTCCCTGTAATTTTTTCCCCGCATTGGGGCTGAGCAGAATTAATGTGGTAACCATCATGAAGACGTTCCTTGTCTGCAGGAGGCATTTCATGAACCTGCTTCGCAAGGGCATTGAAGTTGGATTGAAAGGCTGGTTCTGCGATATACCACATACGCCATTCAATGGACTCCATAAGCCTCAGCTGGTCGGCCTCCTGCATCACATTGCAACGCTTGCATCCGTCAGCGTTTCCCAAAGTTGGCTCACATGCAGCCCATTGAGAAGGCGTCCAAAGCTTTTTGCACTGAACTTCTTTGCAGTACGGGCAAAACATTGCAAAAAAAGGAACGTAACGGAATGGGGCACACAGCGCCAAGCCAAGGTGAAAACCACTGAGCCACAAAACTGATTCATAACAACTTAACAACCAATGCTGCATTGGATTCCAGTGATTCAGTGATTCCAAATTCCAAATAGACAGAAAAACAATGGAGCGGGAACCCGCATCCGCAAAAAAGTTGAAACAACAACAATGAAGTGAAGCGGGAACCCCGCATCCACAAAACAAAGCAAGTCCAAAGTCCAAACGTCCAAACGCGTCCAAGTTTGTTTGTCGTGTTGGTTAGTTTTTTACAAATCATAATTGGCTGGCAGTGGCAGCGTTCAAATTTATGTTTTTGTTTAATAGTTTTTTTTCCTAACTAAAGAGATTTTATGAAAATTTATGAAATTATGAAAATTTATGAAAATTTATGAAAATTATAAAATTTTCTGAAAATTATGAAATTTAATTAAAAATGAAATTTTATGAAAATTTATCAAGTTTATGTAAAATATGAAAATTTATGAAAATTTATGGAAATTTATAAACAAAAAAATATTTTATGACTTCTTATGAACATTTCATAAATGCAATTGAACGGAAAGA